GGCTTGGCTGTTCCCAGTGCACTGGCATCCCTTGAGCCGCCTTCTTCCCCGGCGCCCTCAGAGCACCTGGGTGAAACGAAACGGCCGACCCGGTGGGCAGCCCCACGGGGGTACCCCCACGGCACTCCCCCGGTACCTCTCAGCGTTTGCTCCTGCCCGCCCTTCCCTGCTACCTTCGCTTTAGGCGCTTAACGACTTCTGTTAGCAGGGCATAGCTGAGACCTGCGGTTATACACGTCCCATTATGTAACGGCGCTGCGTAAAAAAAAGTGTTAACTTTGGAACAGGAATTTCAGGCTACTTTTGGTTTGCATGGCTTGTGAGTTTGGGATAAAGACAATCTCCAGAAATCGTGTTTTTTTTTTTTTTGTTCGCTGTTACAACAAAGATTGCAGTGAGGAAAAGCGTAAGAAACCTGATGGATTTTCAGAGACAGAGAGGGATGTGCTCGGTAGAGCTGACCTTCCCTCTTGCTGGAAGCCCATCAGGTGGGTGATTCCTCGCCTGCTGTGCCATGCTGCTAGTGAGCTGCTCAGAGGCATTGATGTCCCAGTTCAGCAGCGGAGCCAAAAGGCTCTCTCAGAAACCTGGTTTCCAGTTTGGAGACCCAACAGGGGTTTACGGGCTCCCCAGTTCCCGGGGGTTTGGGCTTCTTTATTCCCTCTGAGTGGAGGAGGTCATCTAGAGATTACGTTCCTGCATTCAATCATGTTTTAAGAGTGGCAAATACTGTTGTTTCTGCTCTTGCAGTAGATTCAGAAAATTAAGAACAAAACCCAGCACAACCAAATATATGTGCACAAACTTCCTCAAGAGTGCTGGTTTCTGTGAACTAGGGATCGTAACTGTGCTGTGTGTCTTTCGTGAACAGGTAGAATCGCTTTATCCTCGTCCTGGCTGGGTTGAGTTAGATCCCGAAGTGCTGTGGAATCAGTTTGTTGATGTAATAAAGGAGGCTGTACAAGGTAAGGGCTTATAAAGTTTGACAAGTTAATAAATTATTCATCAAAATTAGTAAAGATAGTTAGCTAGATAATAAGGTTATCTGTATGTATTTTTTAAAAGTACTGAAAATTCATCACTGAGCACAGATCTACAACGTTCTTTAAGGCCTGTTCAATCATTATGTGAAATAGGACACTTCAGTTACTTTTTTTTCTTTCAGTGGGGCCAATTAGGATTGAAGTAGGGCCAGAAGCAGTGTGTGTATTCGATTTACATGTCAGTGACAGCACCTTGTTGTTCCAGCTTTTTGTGTATCCTTCCTCAGCATCTGTTTTCCTCCTGACACCTCTGTGTACAAACAGAGTAGGCTTGTTTCTCCTTCTGATTCCCTATTATTCTACTGCTGCTTTGTGTGTGCAGATGTGAGTGTATGAGAGAAAGAAAGTAGGATGCTGTATAGTTGTGCTCACTCAGTTACAACTCGATACTCCCACTTTCCCTGTTTAAACTGTAAACAGTTCTTACCATCTGATTTCTGTATTGTTGTTCTTTTCTGTTTGTACTTTAGCCTAAAATTTCCTAGTACTCCACGCACTAAAACACAGATAACTCTCTTTTCTGCCACACTTCTAAAGTTTTTGTTTTCCTCCTTTTCTGCTCTTTCTGTGCACTTAGTTTCTACAACTCTCACAGCTTTTGCATTATACTGGCTCCAGCATTCTGCGGTCCAGCATGGATCACCTTCTGTGCCATGCCGATGTCCTGGACCTGCCAGCTGCACCCCAATTCGCATTCTCACAGTGCCCCAGCCTCCTTGTCGTGTGTGTGCGTCATACTCTTTCTTTTGATGCCTAAAGTTCCTCCTGTTCAGCCGCTCTTGCAGTTTGGTCTCCAAGCGTCACTCTGCCTCCAAGCCTGGTGCAAGGCAAAACTGCTGTCATCTCTTCCTTTGGAAGGCAGCCTAGGGGACAGGGAAAGTAACTGCTACCAGGTGTAAGCTGCAGCTGATTATTTTGGTCTGTTTTCTCCGCAGCCACCACTGTTCTGTCGCAAGAATAGCAATGTCACTTCAACCTCTGAAGTCCTTACTCGCTTCCTCTACTCCCATTCTGTGGGGCAAAGCAGGAAGCAAGATTTTTCAGCTAGTTTTAAAAGGGGAAGCTTTTCTTGTGCCCAAGCTGTGCACACTGTCAGCAAGCCATTTTTAAGTGGCTGCGTAATGTAAGTGAGCATAATCCCACACTGCTGTCAGAAGAAGCAGTCCCACCCTCCTTTTTACAGGGTTGTTTTGAGTCCAGAGCAGTTTCCTGAGTCAAATTACTGTGCAGTTGTTTATGCCAGCAGAGCTTCACGAATATTTGTGCCAGCGCAAGAGAGGGTGTGGTACTGGGGGCAGGAATGATGGGAAGCAGAAAGAAGGCATAGGAGCTCTTCAGTTTACAGTGCTTGTGGAGCTAAAACAAGTGATTCCATGTGTGAGTGGATGAGCTGATGTAGTTCAGTACTACCTAAAGGTGGGAACTGCTTCTGGCTGCATAGTCCCACCCCTATCTCACACTCTGGTGCTTGTTAAAGCCTTCCAGGAGGCAGCTTAGCTCACCCGCTTAGCTGAAAAGCGCATGTGCTTTCTCTTCTGTTTTGTTTTTACTCTTTAATGGAAGTTATCTCCGCTGTCATTGGGGTCTAAAGAGCATGATAGTCATCACAGGAAAAGCGATAGGAGCATGAAGCTTGCGGAGATGGAGAGCAGTAAGACACGCTACTCTAATCTGCAGTGAGCTGTGGCAGTACTGGTGTGGCTTTGCTTTCAGTTTAGACTCAGCTGCTACTGAAAAAGAAATACTGTTGTTCTCAAGCCACCCACTCCCAGGTCCTCCTCCCGTACGCTCCTGCTACCAGCAGCACTTGGGCAGGCAGTTGGAGCAGATAGCCTTGCAAAGGCACTGTGTTAATTTTCAGCTGATTGAGGGCCTTGATACCACTGCCTGCAGGGACGCAAGGACCAGTATAAGGGAAGGTGCAGAAGCACGTGTAGAGGTTGGCAGAGCAAGACATCCTCTTTCTCTATGAAACTCCTTCTGAAATTGTCACTCAGAGGCTGTCGGTTGTAGAGTCTGCAGCATATGCTTGTGCGAATGAGTAACTTCGCACTTGGAAGTTAACATAAGGACCTGTATGAGCAGGACCTGCTTAATCTGTGATGTGTTCAAGTAGCAGCGTTGAGAGCCCTTCAGAGTAGCAGTTCGTTGGACAAAGTAGGTAGTCTGTCATTTAAGAGGAATTTCCTGATGGATTTTTTTTTTTTGTATAATTTTGCTTCTGTAAGCATGTATGGAGGTACTGGGGAAGCTGACCAGAGCTGCTTTGAAAATACCTGTAGACATACTTAATTATTTACAGTTATATGTGTTAGGAGAAACGTTCTGTAACAGTTATTTGAAGGTAAGGTTTGACAGCAAAATTGGTGTATACTCAAATGTACATTTTTATACTTCTGAATTTGAAGTATACTTTTTTGCATTCAGTGATACGGGGTTTAAGCAAATTTGCTCTTACGAATTTTGAAAGATCCCTTAAGGAATATTATATTTAAGGTGAGGCATGTCATTATTAAAGCAATGTAAAAAATCATGGTGTATTGGCATGAATCTATTTACTGCCTACAGAAACAACCTAGTTTTGTTTTTTTATGCAATTTCTTTCCATAAGTTTTTAAAGGCGCTTACTTCTGTTTGTGCTTTCATTCACATTCATCCATGTGAAATGCACGGTTTAATTGATTATATAGGCATATGTAACCTGTCTGCCTGTCTCTGGGTATGTTCAGATAAAGTATAAATAGACCTTTCAGAAGGTGGAAAGGGCCAGTGTGCCACAACTGCTTTTGTAAAATACATAGGTTTATTCCCCTGATTTGGAGTCAGTTGTTCTGACTCAGAGTTTGCTGATATTTCACTGCTTAGTTGGCATAGAGATTTATATTCTCTTAAATAATTAATTTCCTAAGAATTCTATAGGTTTTATAGTTATATTGGAAAAGTTGTATTTTTGTTTGTTTCATCAAATAAATGTGGGATTTTTTGTGTGGTTTGTTTTTGGTTTTTAGCTGCGGGACTTCACATGAGGCAGATTGCTGGTCTTGGCATCTCAACGCAGAGAGCAACTTTCATTACATGGCACAAGTATGTATATTGTGTTGTTTGAAATGAATTTTTATTCATAGAAGCAGACTGTAGAGATGTTTAATCATGCAAGTCACGACCTGAAAGCAACAAAGGTTAGTCACTGTGTTCTCTTGTGTTTCCACAGCCACACCTTGCAGCAGTTCAGGATGGTTTATAAGTGTATGTCCCTTTTGTTTCGTTCTTAATACTTTGGAAGAGATGAATACCTACGTATTTTTTCATTCTCATGAGAAGCCTCACACTCAAAATGTCTGCATGCCTGTTTACTAATTCCTCAAATTCGCCAGGAGGATATGCACTTATTTTAGGAATTGACCTAGTGTTAACCGAACTGGAAATGTTTGAATGACGTTGAATTTTTTAGGCAGTGTGTGTTGTATAGTTTTAAATGGGAATGTTCAAATACTGTTTTTCAGGAGGACAGGGAAACCTTTTCATAATTTCATAAGTTGGCAAGACTTAAGAAGTGCAGAACTTGTGACTTCTTGGAATAAGTCCCTTCTGCTGAAGGTAAAACTGTGCTAAACTAGATACTGCTAGGACATATTAAACTGTTTCATTGTTATGAAGAGCAAGGGCAATACATGAAATACACCAAGTGTCCTGTTAACATGTTAATATGACGTGTTGTGGCATAAAAACATTTAACTGGGCAAGATGAGCATGGACGGTAAGACGGAGAAAAAATGTGGTACTGATAGCCTGAAGGTAATGAATGATAGGAGGAGAGATTTGTAGGCATAGCATGCATTTTGTTACTTTTTAGTCTCTTTGTTGTTTTAAAATGTTGCATGTTAACACTGCTACTGCATAATTTTTGGATGTAGATAGTTCTTGGTTGGCAGTGTTTTGGGTTTTTTGTTTGTCTATTTGTTGTTTTTTTTTTAATGTACTCTGCTCAGATTATCAATAGAAGATACATTTTATGCTGCTCGTATCTTACACTTCGTACCTTTAGAAGAGAAAGATTTGCTCTGAGTGCAAAAGCTGAAGTTACTTTTCCTGTAAGTGGAAACTGACTAGCACGCTCACAATAAGAAGTTAAATTCTTGGTTTTGCCACTGATTTATTCTGTGAATGAAAATGGAAATAATGATTGAATTTTGGTTAACCCATTAAAACGTGATTGAGCCTGTCTACTGTAGGAGAACTTTTACTGGAATAACAGTAGGTAACGTTGTCAACCGCATCATGTGTTGTGCTCGTGTAGGTGACCTGTCTGCATAATGCAGAGCCCTCTCTTGCCAGTGCGCCAGCAGAAGTCAGTGAAATAGACTTCCTTAGTGAAGCTTCTCTTTCCTGTATTTGGTGGGTTGAAATCCTACATAAGGATTCACTAGCAGAGTTTTAACTTTCTGAATCTAATCTCATGTCAGCAGCTTTCATCTGTGTTGTCATCCTTTAAAGATGATAATTGATAAGAAACCTTTAAAGGGAGAGATTAAAAGTTAAGTAATTGTTTTCTTTTGAAACAGGTGATCCATGTTATTTTTACAGTACTTCATTTCTTGACTGGGAGCGATCGGTATTTGGCACCAAGTTTTCTTACTTTTTCAACACAACAAACTTCTATGAAGTTGTCATGGGTTTTTAAAAACATACAGGAGGTAAGCTGGAAAGGGAAAAATAATAGCTTTCTTCAGTCATATTAGCGGCTAGTGACTTAGATTTGTTGTAACCTCTTCAGTTTTGTCTTGCTCGTTCTTTGCCTTAGAAGAACCAGAATGAAAGATCTTTATCTGTGTTAATGTTCAAAAGCTGTCTACCTAGATCCCTACTCATGCTTATACAGTTTTTTCCCTCTGACTCTGGAAATATGTAGTAGTAAAAAGTTTTCTTCATGCATAAGTAATATAATCAAATCACCTTATTTCACTCACTTAATATAATTACACAATTAGTAATTGTACTTTGTTTTAAAGTTGTTTGCACTCTATAGCTTTGCCTGACAATTGTATTTATTTTCCACTGGTATTCTTATATTTCCACTCTGCATTATTTCAGTGTTTACAAATAATATCATACTGAACAGTCAAACACTGCGATTTATTTTGTGTTTTGTTGTAATGTAAATTGGAAAATACACATAAAATAAGTTGTGCTGGGATACTCTAATGGATTAATGAGCACTGAGCTATTAGTTGCTGTATCCTTTGCTCTAATCCTTACCATTTTCCTTGTTTCTTCCTATTGTATTTATAACTTTAGTCGTCTTATTTTCTATGTTAATTTTCAAATTATTTTTGACGCAAATGATTGTCATCCATTTTCTACTGTGAGTAAAGAAACCCCGCAATCTTTTGAGTTTTGTCTGGTATATTCTGTCACAAAACTAACTATTGAGAAGTTCAAGTATAATTTTTTTACTGACATGTTTATTTGGGCCTGTTGAAAATGTGAGGTGTTAATTTGGAGGACTGTAGAATTGAAAATCATGCAGCCGCTGAGTTTTCAGTGTGAGATGAACATTATCCCACATTTTTTCAGGCACTAATACTTAAAATATGTGAGTATCAAACCAAGAAGCTCAAAAATTCATGGCTCTTAATTACAGAGAATAATGTATTCAGTCATGTTGTGAGTTAATTTGTTTGTATGTTCTTTTTCTGAATTCTGTAGTTGTACATGGTATCAGTTAGTAGAAATTAGTTGAAACCTGAATTTCCCATTTTAAAGAGGGGGAAAAAAATCCCAAGGAAAATAACATTTTGAAGTCTTTACAGACATCATAAACCAGAAAACAATGACTCCATCTTTATTGTTCTCAAGCATATATTTTAGAATACACTTATTTATTCTTTTTCTGTAAATTTTTTATGTAAGTGCAGTGTGCAGGACTTTGTTTTCTTTATTTACTAGACATATTTTCTGGGGATTTTATCATTAACCACAAAGAAAATGAGAAAGAAATCAGGAAATATGTTTCTCTCTATTGTACCCAGTTGCAAATACTTTTTTTGTATGTATGTTTGTTCCCAGGCTGAAGAAGCTGCTAAGAAAAATAACTGCTGCTTTGGAACAGTTGACACGTGGTTACTGTATAGATTGACTAAAGGTGAATGCCACAGTTCCTCTTAAACATACGACATACTGGAATCTAAGTAATCATATTCATAACTGTCATTGATATATCCTAGAATTCAAATACTTTTTAAACTGTTTGTGCTTTTTTAAATAATTGATGAATATTGTAATATATTTACCGTTTAAAAAAAAACCCTGCTAAATTAATTATTCTTTGGACCTGCCAGGAAGGGTAGTCAGAAGGGAAATGATTTTTCAGTGTAATCAACCTTTTAAGCATTTAAAAGTTAAAAAGGACTACCAGAGCTAATTGGCCTTGATTGAAGAAAAGTATCTGCAAAAGCAAAAGAACAAAGATTTGTTAGAAATGTGGAAGAATTATGAGTTTCTGTCCTGAGGGCTAATGCCTGAGCAATTGGATAGATCGTGATAGACAGCGATGCAGTCAGTGTTGTACATATTGTCAAAAGTACCAGCCCTCTTCTAGCCAGATCCATAAGGGTAAAATAAGGTAATTAATATATACACATTATAGTGATCAGCAGGCAAAGTTTCTGTGCTCATTGTATCATCATGACTTTGCCTATAGCTGCTCAGGTTATATAGCATGGGAGCCACTGAGATGTTTAAAGGAAAAGTATGTTTAAAATTACTCTTAAATATTTGACTGTTTGAAATCTTTGTTCTTTTTTTTTTTTTTATGGTAGGTTCTGTTTATGCTACAGATTACTCAAATGCCAGTGCTACAGGCATTTTTGAACCCTTTACGGTATGTGCTGTTCCGAAAAAATGTTGTTGCTATTTATTGTGCTTCTGAGTGAGTTGCTGACACTTTTACTTTTTCCATATTATTTCAGAAATGTTGGAACCCCACTTTGAGTAATTTACTTTCCATTCCAATGTCTATTTATCCTCCAGTGAAAGACACAAGGTAACTATGAAGGCATATTCAAAAGAATATGATATCTGTTAAATTAATTGTCTTTACTGAAACAATATATAATCTGCACAGGCCAAGTAATAGATTGTTAAACCAAAAAAAAAAATTATTTTTATATGCAGGTGTACTTAACACTACATCCAAAACTTTATTTCTTCAATATTTCTTGATGTGACAGTTTTAATGCTTTCTTTGAAATAAATCCTTTCATATGTGATGCAGACCCAGGCCTGATATTATATATCTAGATTTCATTTTTACAAAAAAGTCAATTTAATGTTTTGATGTTTCTCCATAACATTTGTTGTAAGCTTCAACTTCGGATCAGCTGACTCTGAAATATTTGGGGTACCTGTTCCAATAATGGCAGTGGTGAGTGAAAATGTTTTCTTACTTAAATCTCTATATTTGTACCTATATTCTTTTTATCTAGCTTTGATTTAATACTTGCTTGTTTAGTAAGTATTCTCTGTTCCTTCTCTGTGACTTAACTACAGTAGAATTGGTTGTTGAATTTTTCTCCAAAAACTCAGTTTACAACCTTAGGGAGAAAGGAGGAGAGAGGAACAAGAAGGGATTTCTAGAGGCTGAGGCCCATCAGGGTTAGATGACCAAATGATTAAGCACTGAATGTATGACTTAACAGAGCTGAGTTCTGCTCGCAGCTCTGGTAATGTGTGTCTCTGGCTTAAAATCAGTTCTTGCAGATAAAGTAGTGCAATGGAGTCCATCCTGGCTTGACTTCAGTAAGACTCTACACAAATGTAAGAGTATTTGTTAACAGATCCACTTGCGGTACCTTCTATTTATTTTTTTCACTAAAAAGAAATAGAGAATTACATCTTCTTGCCTCAGTAGTTAGGATTTGGATAAGAAAAACCCATTATTTTTGTAAAGTGCCTTGCAGAAAAATCTGCCTGATTTGAGCTAAATGGGAGAAATGTCATCTAGCTAACATCAATTTCTCCAGCTATTTTTAAAGAATTGTAAGCTCAATTTATCTGTAAACTTACTGTTTCAACAAGGCATAAACATAAATAAATATATTCAATAACCATCATCATTGTTGAAAAATTGAGCATGGAATAATTTGGTACAAGAGCAGGCATAGCAGGGAGAAAGGAAGGTGAGACCTCAAAACTTCAGCTTTCTATTTGGGGGAAGAGGAATTCAAGCCAAGCTACTCTGTTCTGTTCCCTGGGATTGTAAATGCCTCCTTTATCCTTGTTAAATACTAAACCATAAAATACTTCTTTTGTTTCCATAGCATGATTTTCAGTGTTGCAAGCAATATTACAGATATTCTCATTGTGTCCAAACCTCATGTAATTTGATTCTAGTGATAAATCTGACTATTGGAATGGCCTGCAAATACTTAAGAAATTGTGTATAAGTCCTCTCGTAATAATTCTGAATGGTATTTGTGCTCAGAACTCTGAAGTGTTTGCACTGATATTTTAAAATCCAGCAGCATTGTAGGTTGGTAGTTGGTAGCTAACTTGTCATATTGTTTTTGTTGGTATGGCAGGTAGCTGACCAGCAGTCAGCCATGTTTGGAGAATGCTGCTTTCACCCAGGAGATGTTAAATTGACGATGGGAACAGGTGGTTTCTGGAATGTGAATACTGGAGGGCATCTCTTTGCATCATGGAGAAGTAAGCTAGTAAAATTTTAGTGTCACAGTATTTCACATTACTTGACAGCTGTTAATGATGAGGGTACAAAAAGAGATAAAACAGGGCTATTCTTTTCCTGCTGTCTTTAGCTGTAGAAAAACAGCTTGAAAGTGATTTCAGAACAGAAGACTGGAAATTTTTACTTAGAAATGTAGATCTCGTGTATCCTGAAACATACTTTTCAAGAAGAGAATTTAAGTAACATCGCTAATAATTATGTCTGCTACCTGCAGCCCTCCTTTTTTTCTTTTTCTTCACCTGTTTTTCTTGATAGCAGTATTATACAGTAATGGGGAAAAAGAGGATTGGCCCTCTGGCTTACCCATCAAAATGTTCCAATGGATCGCTGGATGGTCCTCCTCTTCAGCCCTTATGCTTTGAAGTACCTTCAATGAGATAATGCAGGATTAACAATTATTAGTTTTCTTGTAAAATACTAGAAATGAGTTCCCCAATGTGTTCCTAGTGTTTTAAACTTTGTTGTTCTGAATGTTTGTGGTCTGTCGGGCTTGTTAATTTGTCATAGATGGCTAATTGTCAAGAGAGCAACAGACGATACTGAAGTAAATTTGCCTGCACGGTCTCTGTCTGTCATTTTTTTAAACAGTTGCTAATTTCAGGAAGCCTATGATTTAAAGTGGAAGGGATGAGACTGGGGAGGAGGGCAGCAGTGTGCTAAGGAGACTTTACCAGCTAAACTCTGGAAGGACCTTGGCAAATACAGGAGATGTGTCAGAACTGAATAGCACAGACGTTGGATTCCCTATAAATACGAATGCTTTTTAGGCTACTTAATGATGTCATTATGATGATACTTTTACTTAGGAAATCAGATGTATGTAGTCTGTGGGAATGTAATAGCAGAAACCATGCTGTAAGTTTTTTCCATTTTGTTTTCTTTTAAGAAAATATATGGCTATTGTGATCTGATAGGAGCTGAAATCTTTTAAGGCAGTGCTCTGAAACTTTAACTGCTTTAGGCTGTTATTTATGTAAAAATAATTTTCCCTATGTTCTTTGGCTGTCATATGGTATGGTTAGTAGGACAAGTTAGGTACCTGCTTTCTCAGTGCCCTGGGCATGAAATGTAAGGTGTTCAATCTTTAAAGTTGACATATGTATTTAAGACTGCAAGATGAATCCCTACAACGTCCTTGTAGAAGCTATTCATTAGCTGCTGCTCTAGTTTCTGATCTACATTTAGTTGCTCTATATGACAGTTTAAAAAGAAATAGTTCCTTTGAGAACAGCACTTCTCAGAATTCAATGATGGAAACATGTTGTATAGATTTTAAATCTACCTCTCTGACAGTCTGATAGTTCTTAGTAACTGTGGTTGTGCCAAATGTCGTATTGATCTGTTCCCTAGAGGTAAATTATCTTACCCTACTAGAGATTCTGGTGTGAGCATCTGTAGGAGGGTAAACTGATGGACTTCTCTGTCCCTAATTAGCTGTCTGTCATGGTTTAGCCCAGTTGGCAGCTAAGCCACCACAGGGTCCCTCACTTACTCCTCTCGCTCAGTGAGGTGGAGAGGAGAAAAACGTAACAAAAGGCCTGAGGGTCCAGATCAGAACAGGGAGTGATCATCCAGCAACCATGACCCTGGGCAAAACGGGCTTAGCTTGGGGACAAAAAAATTTAACTCGTTAAAGGTTCATTCAGAGACGATAGCAAGAAACAAAGCCAGATCTTAAAAATCACCTTCCTCCCACCCCTCCCTTCTTCCCTGGCTCTACCTTCTTCCCCAAGTGGTGCAGGGGAATAGGGAATGGGGGAGTTGCAGGTCAGTTTGTCACACATTGTTTCTGCCGCTCCTGTCTTAAAGGAGGAGGACTCCTTACACTCTTTTCCCCTGCTCCAGTGGATCCCCTCCTCATGTGACAGTCCACTGATTTCTCCAACATAAGTCCTTCCCGTAGGATGCAATCCTTACCCATCAGATTGCTCTTTCACGGGCTTCTTCCCCAGAGTCACGGCTTCTTAGGGAGCTGCCACCTGCTCAGGTGTGGGGTCCTTCGGGGACTTCAGATGCCTCTCTGCTCGTCATCAGCCTCCAGCAGCTCACAGAGACCATTCTCTATGACCTCCTTCAGGCACAGGCATCTCTGCTCCAGCGTGGGCTTCTCCACGGGCTGCGAGTGGCTCTCAGCTCCACCATTATTCTCCATGGGCGACAGAGTGGCTGCTGGCCGTCTCACCACGGGTTGCAGGGGAATCTCAGCTCTGGCCCACCTCCTCCTGCTCCATCTTCACTGACCTGGTGTCTGTGTGGCCATTTCTCTCAGGTATCAGCCCTCTCTCTGCTGCAGCTGTGCTGAGCCTGACGAACATTGGCAGTCCCGGCAGGATGAACTCTGCCCAGTGGGTGCTGTGGGAGCGGGGCTGTTTGGAGCTCTCCAAGCCACACTGCTGCAGCCATCTCCAGTCAGGTAGTGGTGGTCCAGCACGGGCAGCTGCCCACCCAGGAGGCCAGCCCTCGCCTCCCCACTCTCTTCAGTGTAGGTCCAGCTCTGGTTCAGGCTCCTTTGTCTCCATCTTAAATAGAGCATTCACAGAGGCACTGATTGGCATGACCCTGGCCTGAGGGGATGAGGGGTCCAACCTGGCCAGAGGCCGGTCCAACAAGTTTTGGAGCTGGGGAAGCATTTCACAGCTACTTACAGGGGCCATTTTCACAGTCCCTTCTGTGCTACCAAAACCCCATCACGTAAAGCCAGCACACTGTCCTTCTCTAGGGCTTTTGGCCCAGTTAATTGTTTGGTCCTGCTGCTTTGCAGCTTCACCTTTGGTAGAAAATAAAGATTGTAAGGGAGACCAGCACCAAGGAGAGACGTGTATCATCTTTTCCTTTCAAGAGACAAATACAAACTTTAATCTAAATAGGTACTGCTAATTGTTTTCCCTTATAAGCACCAGAAAGCCTCCAGCATGTTTCTGCAGTTGCGCTAGTACTACCATGACACTCTTTTGGATGCAGGCAAACAAACTGGAGATGATTCTGTGAGAGAGACTTGTATATCAGCAAAGTCACCTTGAGAAAAGAGAATTCCTAGATCTTCTCTGATGCTTTTCTGGTCCTGTAGTTATTGGGACTCATTTACCTTTGTTCCATTACCTGTGATATCTGAGTACTGAGCAGGTTCCCTTAAGATCTGGGTGCTTTCTTCACTCCAACAGTTACAATACTGGGGTTGGGTGAAGTTTTTATTGCAGTGGCCACTGAATGCTTAGGTTCGTACCAAGCGACCTGAAAAACATTTGTCCAGCCACAGTGCTGGAGATCATCTGCTGTTCAGGTAATGAAGTCTTTTTGCTTTAGCATTAAAAGCAGTAATCTGCAGGACTTTGTGCTATGTCCTTACTAATACAGATACCAAACAAGAAGGTCTTTGTGCTCACACTGACAGTTTTAAGTAGTATGCCTATCCTTGTTTCTAGATATCTGGAGGGGGCAAAGGACAAATCATCAGGTTTATCCTCATTGTTGGTTGTTTATTTCTAATGTAGTAGTATATTCAGGCAGACAGCTTTTTGAAAGGTGCTGTACTGTGTTTTCAAATAAACTAACAGTGTTTATGTATTTCTGCCTTTCTTCTGAGAGAAGGAAAAGAAATTTTCAAAGTCATTGATTTTTTTTTTTTCTTTAGTCACTGCAAAGGCAAAACTGTTTGGTGGAAATCATAACTTCCTGCAAATCCCATTATGTAAATCATAGAAGTGCTAATCTTTTGTAGTTACAAAGTACATCACCAAATATTTTTAATGAGTTTGGATGTTTCTTTTCTTGTTTAAATTAGACAAACATACATGTAAAATACTATAGTTAAATGGCAGCAACCTTTGGGGACAAGGGTGGGCAAATTGTGAAACTTATTTTCTTTTTTTTGCTTTCTATGTGAGGAAGCATTGTATATTGAAAAAGGTATAAAAAAGTGTATCACTCTCATCCTCTTCTATGAATAAGATCTATGTTCTAAGTTTGTGCTGCTGCTTTTTTTTTTTTTTTTGTACATATGTCTTGGTATTTGTGCTTCCCATCTAAAAGTCCAGCCTTCATGCTGGAGGAAGTAAATTCTGACTTTTTAGAAGCCATTGGGGAAAATAAGGTAGATTGAAAACAAATAGGAAAACATGGATAATTTTTTAAGTATATACAATCTCATGTCATTTAAAAAGAAAATAAATGCAGATAGCTCTTCTCTTTAGCTTTAAGTGGGATATTTTTGTAATTTGATAATGAATTTTTTTTAGGTTAACTTTGGTTTAACAAACTGTCATTCAAGTCTCTTGTAATTCCAGCACTAAATTTTTTAACAATATATTTAACCTCTAACAGTGACTGGTTTTTTAGCTTAATTCTGCAAAGGAATTGACTAAAAACTATGTGGGTTGTTTTTATTTTAAGATGGGTTTATTGTGGGGGATGCTTGTATATGTTTTTCTGGAAACATTTCATTTAACTAGATGTTTTGTTTTGTTTCATGGGAAATAATTAAGGTCTGTATCCACTGATTGGTTGGAAGATTGGAGAAGAAGTTGTTTACTTAACTGAAGGCTGCATGTCAGACGTTGGCACTGCCATAAAATGGGCTCAGGATATAAGTAAGTAGTTCTTTAACTGTATATAGGGTAAAATAGGTTGCCACTTAAGAAACTGTTTTATGGTGTTTTAGTTATGTTATTGGGCTTGGTTTTATTATCCATGATTGAAGAAACAAGCCTACATGTTTTGGACAGTGGAAAATGCAGAGTCTCTTCTGAGTGTTTACTGCGGGGATTTGGTTTGCACAATCATCTTCTCATCAGACTCTGCCTCTCAGACCCTCCTACTTCAGTAGGCTTTTATTTTCCTGAAACGTTTTACTCCTCACTTGCTTTCTCTCAAGCATGACAAACTTCCTGACACCGCCTTTTGTTTTTTTAACCTGGTATCCAGACTTGAATAGAAATGATGTAAAGGAGACCTGTCTAAAGTTAGATGTGTGCTTTCAGGGTATTCGGACTTGAATTTTCAGTTGAGGAGAAGCACAGAAATTGACAACCTTTTAAGTCTAGGTAGCATGACTGTAAATGCAATATTCCACAAACAGTTGCTGTAATGCTTTTGAGAGATCTCTAGCTGTGCATCTCCGAATTAATAGCAGGTTTGAGTTGTATGAACATAATGTGAAGAATTTTATCTTTAAAAGTAACGGCGTTGTGTATGTTGATTCATATAGAAGTAATGTGCCTTTTGGCTGTGACTATTATGTAATGAAAAGATTAGCATTCCAGATTAATAAAAGACTAAGAATACTAGCTCTATAGTAGTTGATCTTCAAAACTACTGATTGTTTATAGGACAACTTTTACCAGTGTTGTAATAAATTATTATTTATAGGACAACTTTTACCAGTGTTCTAATAAGCTATTTACTTAATTTAGTAATAAGTACTCAATAGTAAATTTAGTAATTTAGTACACCTTTACTAGGGTGATAAAAAGGAATTAGTGTCTCAAGCTTTGGGTTATCTGGGAAAGGTTTTCATGAAGTGTAGCTCACCACAAAATTCCATGTTTCTAGAAGCTGTCAGCTTCTGATGCATATGAGCACATATGCTCATGTATGTGCCCTTAAGGATTATGTATGGCTCAGACTGGTCCTCAGGTCTTCATCGTTGAACATGTGACTGAGCCTAGAGGATAACAGCCACTGTCTTTTGAGGAAATTACTCCATTCAATACACAGTCAGTGCTGCAGATACAAGTATCAGTGGTACATACGTAAGCTTGCTACTCCAAATTCCATACTGAAATGAATACTTATCCATATAGAACTTATCCATACTGAAAATGGATATTATTGGTGTATGCAGAGCAAAAGTATAAAGGATTTTTAGCTAGCCAGTAGTGAAATGGACATAACCTACAGTTGTTACCACAGGCTAAAACTGGGAAAGTTTTAGAGGGAGATAAAAAACCAGGCATGCTGCTATAAAGTCTCTACTAAATCAGATCTTTATTTTCTGGAAGTGTGATTGCTGAGAAGCAGAATTCAGAAACTTTTCTCAGCTTTACAAATAAAGAGAAGGGTAAAACTTTTGCTCTACAGAAGGAATTGGGCCAAAACACAATGTAAGCTAATGGCCTTAGTTATGATAGTGAGGCTCAACATGGATGGAGATAAGTCATATAATAGTGGTAAAGGTTTGGAAATAGGAATTTCTGCAGCAGGACAAAATTAGTTTAACGGGCTTCTTTTAGTGGGATCACATCACTTCTAAAAATTTCGAAAAAGTAGTATGTGGAATTTCAAGGTGAAGTGAATCTTACTTAATTTTTTCATTTTCTGTCCTTTCATAGAGGTACTATATATAGGTCAGTAATAGCAAATACAACAAGAAGGAGAAGATGTGATTTAGTCTTATTAGTCTGGGCACAGTAGAATTCAAAGCTTTCAAACAAATTTATGAAGATTACAAAGGTAAATTGAAACTCCTGGTAAGTTACCAAAATGGATTTTTCAAAGATAAATTGAGCTAGATTACCCTAATTTATCTTTGATACAGAAATTTACATTTTAGACAAGAAAAAACAATAGCAGTCATTTACAGGAGACCTCTAGTCTTCTGTAAAAACATGTTATGTGGCCACATGGGGACATTGATGGTTAAAACTACAGAAGATGGATGTTAGCACAAGAGCGGCATGTGGGTAAAGACCAAGATAAGAGGGATGCCTATAGAATTGTGAAAGGAGACATCTGGCTAGACAAAGAATAGAAGTAGTGTCTACCAAAGAGGTGATATTAGAACCTACCTTATTTATATTCATGTGTTAGTCACTTAAAAATATTAAGCACTCTGATAAAATACGGTGAGTATAAAGAACTATCTCTGTAGTCATTTGGTACTTGGGCTGACAATAACAACATCTTTAGGGGGAAAAACATTTTTTACGCTTTGGAAATCTAGGTTTTTAGCATTCTTAGGGTGCCATTGTTAGCATTCTTAATTCCCATTTATACCTCTTTGGAAAGCTTATGACTTCTTACAGGATGTGAAGATTAAAAGGCTATGGCATGACAGATATGAGAGGATCCTTTTGAATTTAGCCTTCATCTGAATAGTATTTTTTTTTTTTAATGAGACTGATGTACATGAAATACAGGTGAAGTGATCGTTTCCCTTGGAACATGTAGTTTGAGAATATTACAAAAGGAAATAGTCTAACTCTAGATTTTTGTCTCTTAGTAATATATGAAGAAATTGAAGTAAATAATAAAAGCATATGACTTACACATCTTTACAGATCTTTTCACCAATGTAGATGAAACAGAAAAAATGGCGCGGAGTATTGTTGATTCTCAAGGCGTTTGTTTTGTTCCAGATTTTCAGGTAAAATTATTATTATTAATACAATTGAGAATGTATTTTTAATAACCCAGTTAAACTTTTAACTTTTACATATTTAGATGTAGTAATTTTCATCTTATCACAATATTTATTCTGTACTATTCAGGTTCTTATTCTCTGTCCTTCACCACAATGTATGAAAGTCATTGTCGTATGAGAATGTTTAAACACCACCCACCCCATGAGAAAAACCCTACAAAATACGAAAATTACTTTGATTTTGCAGATGGAGACCTGGGGGACAGATAAACTAAATTACTTGTCCACAGTAACTCAGGCTGTGTCTGCAGAAACAGAAACTGATTCCATAGCTTTTCTGCCTCGTGCAAAGCCTTCATCGAGACAATAGTTCTAAGCACTGTTCTAAAATAATTCATTTTATTCTGCCTCTTTTCGAGATGTAGGTTGCAATTCATCAGAATACTTAAACATACTTAAACATGAGCAAGACTGCAAATCCTGGTGTTATGAAAAGCAAAGATAGTAACATATAGACGCTTCTTTGATATCCAGATTTTAATCCGAGTTAGATTTTTCCCTTTAAAATAGGGTTTGTGCCTTCTTGCTGATCACAATGTGTATAGTAAGGAGTTCCTGGCATTTGTTCTCCACTTTAGTCCCCTCTGTTTTCCAGTAGCTTGCTTTTACCTTCCTCTCCATTTGAAGAACTTTCTGCAGTTACACGATCCCCTCTAGGCCACGAGCTCTGGGTTCTTTCTACTTGCTTTCTGTTTATGCTGGAGACTTATGTATCCTCATGTCTGTCCTTTCCGCCTCCTTTCGTGGTCCCTCTTGAGTTTCATTAGAGATGTGAATTACTCTTCCTGTGCAGAGGCAGCAACAAGGGTGATATTGATACTGCAGTTCAGTGTAGCATATTAGTCTAGATAGAAATTGATGGGAATTCCAGTTAATACGTTACATTAAATGACAAATTATGATAGCTGGGGAGCTGACATACTGCATATTTAGCTACAAAGCAGGTGCTTCTAGTATGGGTTTGACAGTTTGTAATAATAGTTTGTAATTTGTCACCACAAAATATGACAGAGCTACAAGTCAGAGCTCTTAGACAAACGTTTACGCAGAATGAAAATAAACAGGTTTTGCTAATGTAGTCATTGCTAGCTTAGGGACTGTGCAGAGCCCCACAACTTTTTCATCTAGTTATGCTACTTTCCTAAGCAATATAAGATAATCTGAGTAAAAACTCGCTTTCAGCAGCGAGTTGTTCTACATTGTGGGTTTGTCAACATGAAAACATCCATGTCTCCACAAAACTTTGTTTTTCCAATCAGTGTTGCTGTCCGGGAGAAACTCTGTGGTGTAGCCCTGGTCTCCAAGTTGTCATTTGGAATATTAACATTATAAACTGTATTGGGCAGATGGACCAGGCAAGATAAATGAAAAGCTGTTGCTGTGCTGTGGGGGTTGAGTAATGCCTGCCATCAGCTGTATACAGAACTGATGTTTGAACCCATCAGGTGTTTAGAAGTTACTGTGTTACCCAAACAAAGAAAAGTCATTAAGATGAAAACAGTATTCTCTTTTTTGCTCAAAAATCACCTTTTCTTTTCTCTTAGAAATCTTAGATAGTAATTTGTTAGTTTGAATATATACATTTTAGAGCTACATGGAATGTTTTTGACAGCTCATCTCTCTGTCTGTGACCAAAAGTGCACTTTATTTTGGTCTTCATCAGTCTACCATACTCAGTTTGATCGTTCCCAGGACTAGTGTTTTTCTGAAGAAACGTAATATCTTTAACCTTACCTTTGTGTAAGTCCTAAATGTTAATGGAACAAGGCAGAGAAAAATTTAATTTCATCTGCAGGTAGCCCAGCTACCTTCTCTCAAAGAGCCAACCTAATAATTATATTTGTTTTTAAAGGTATAAAGCTTGATTATGCTGAGATAATTCCATTTAGCATTTACTGTGAGTAACTGTGCTGTGAAAAAGCAAATGTTGAGCCATGCCAAATTTCAATATTTGCAGACAGGAATCCTGAGGTAGACAAATGTTAATATAAATCTTTTTTGAATCTTTAATTCTATTAATATTCAAGTCTAGAGACGTTGGTAAAACCTCTTTGATTGGTTTTTGTTTTGCTTTGCGGGTTTGTGTCCTCCTTGCTTCCTTGACACTCTCTCCAGAAGGAGCTCCAGCTAGCTTCTTGGTAAACATTGGTTCAGTCGTCTTCCCTAATTCTAATATTCCTAGTCCAAATTTGGGAGCTGTACTAAGAAAACTGAATAGATTTCTCTTTAACAGTGACATCTAGGTACCACTAGTAGTATCCACCAAAGTGAATTTCTTTGCCTTTTAAAAGCCCTGCTTATTTCAGTGGAACGTGCTTCGTTAGTAGACTCACAGTAACAGAATCTGTATCAGTTTAGAAATTGAGTGGATTAAATGGTATGAAAAGGGACATGAAGAGAGTTGAACACTTCTCAGACTGTAACAGGTCTGCTTAGCTTCACTGGCTACATGCTAACACAAATTGCTTGTATGGTAGTGTTTCCTAGACCTCAGAATGATAGTGGTTGGGGAGGGTTCTTGTGAAGCCCATAGGTTCGTTTTGTACGCAGAAATGTTTCTCTACCCATCTGTATTAAGGCAATAAAACTAAGTTTATTTCTTACTGAATTCTGCTGCTGTGATGCAGCACATCGAAAGGAGCATCACTGCGAAAGTGTGTTTGAAATTGAGTGAATATGTGCTTTAATCTAATTTTTCCTCTGAGTTATTCTGCTAAAAACAGAAGTTGCCAGGGTTAATTTGCTCTGGCTAGTAGTAACAGCAAAAACTTACTGCGGTGTATGCATACATATGCACTGCAACTTTTTTTTTTTAATGATTGATTCTTTCAAGAGTCTCAACCTTACGTAGAATATAAGTCTATGCTTTTTAGTTTACAGATTTTCATATACAAGGTAATAAACTTGGAAGCCATGGATCCTTATTATCCTACTAGGCTGGATAAGTGGTTCCATTCTTAAAATGGGAAGGGTACTTGTATAAGGAAAAGAAAAAATATTTTCTTTTACTTTAATAGAGAAGTTTCTTCTATTTAGGAACTTCTGCCAAATTCCAGTTTTCCTTCTGGCTACATGTACCTGTCCGTATGTTGTGGGCTTTTTTTAACATACGTTAGCATTTCCTTAATTTACTTTATAAATATGAGTCTATGTACTTTATAATTAAAACTTCTGGTAAGTTTTGTCATAATTGATATTTAGCGCAATACAATTGGATTGTTTCAATTTAAAAACTACTGTCTACAGTGAAAATAAGATTTAACATTGTCACAAACCAGGTATGAACCAGCAAACTAGTATTTTGTGATAGAGTTCATCAGAGGGGTGGGGAGGAGATTCATCCATTGATCCTCCAGTTCTGCAAAAAGAAGACGACTTCACAATCATTAGAATTTTAGTTGGACTCTGTTTGTCAGTGTCATTGAAAACAGCCTGTAGTATAAAATAATAAAAAGTATTACCATCCTTTTCAGTGTTACTTTTAAAAGTCAGTTCATCCATCTTTCAGCAGTGCAGGAGTGGTTAAAAACAAACAAAAAAAGCATCTGGGTGAAATCTTGCTAGAGAACAGCAATACCAGTGTGCCCTGTCCTAGGCACTTAAAGTGTACACTATAGGTATTTTAAAGGGAAGTCATACAGATTAGTGTTCTTTAATATGTCAGATTTGGAAGAAGTCACTTAAATCTTCTTCCTGTTGAAAGGAGCTATTTGAACTGTTCACTGAGTTAGCTAAAATAACACTATGTACCTCTTACATATTGTTTTCAATTTTCTTCTTTCACTATGCTGCCTGTAATTGTCGTAAGTTATTTTTTTCTTACTATTTGACTCCTTTCTCAGAAGCCTACAAATACAATTCACTGAACTCATGGTGAAATCTTTTCTGCAGGTTTCTGTGAATGACCCATATTTATGTGCCTCTTTCATGGGGCTGAAACCTTCCACTACCAGAAACCATCTTGTACGAGCTATATTGGAATCCGTAGCTTTCAGGTACTGCTTGCTTAACTATCTTATTTGTATTTTCTTATGTTTGTTTTTATTTTGCTCAGCAGTGTGAAATGGATACATGGACTTCTGCAGTTTGTAAAATATAAATTGTAGTGACCCATTACTGTTACATTGACAAGGAGTTTTAGCTGCTTCCCTTTTTTCCTTTAACGCTTTACAAATAAACTTGTGTGTATTCATTAGCTCAGTTTTTGTTATTAGGTAACCATATAGGAGTTCTTAAATTATAATGTTTTCTGTATGTTCTAAAAATGTTTTCTATTTAAATTTCATCCTTACTGTCTTGACAGTGTTTTGTCAGAAGCTGTAGCCTGCTTCAGCTGTGTTTAAAGTATCCCTGAAGCTGGAAGTTTTATATTGGCTCTTTGGCTAAAGTTTGAATTTTTGGTGCTTTATGAAAGATGTGAATGGACAACAACTTCCAGATCTATCTGTCAAGGTTAAAGATACTACTGCTAATCACTGATGATATCATATCAGTAGCTCACTGTGGAACAGGTTGGTTCTGCCTTGCAAACCCATCCAGCATGCCTTGAACTGAAGTTGAGTATGGGAGCCTGGCTCACACTGCATTGTGGCCAGTTAGGGAACACAGGTACGATTCCTTCCGTCTAGTCACCAGCTCAGCTTTGGGCACAGTAACGTCCTGCAAAGAGGCAAAAAGGATGTCTGGAGGACAGTAACATTCTGAATTGCTGCAGCTGTTTCTAATGCATTTTTTTCTGCACTGTAAGAGAAACATAAGATGCAGTAATTCCTGAACTGAAGCATGGGCCTCTTGAAAACAAGGATGTTGAGAATCTCATCTCCTTCAAATACCTAACTAGAAAAGGGTAGATGTCCTTTGTGTTTCAGAACAAGTCAAGATTACAGCCTTCAGACATTCTCTTTAAAGAACAGCTGGATAAACTCTAGTTAACACTGTCAGCCTACTTTCCTCACTCTAAACTGCTTGTTACATCAACAATTGCACCTTGTCTGTGGAAACCTATCATTGGTTTCAGGTGGGAATAAATTTACCTTCTACAGTGACTTGCTATAGAATGGTCTGTGATTTAGCCATATTTGTGTGTTCATAATGATGTATAACAAAGACCGGTTTCAGTCTTTTTCATTTTATTTTTGCATTTTGGAAACTTGTTAGCTATTGTAGCAGCTCTGACACAACTGAGGCATTTTTTGCCTTGTATTTTATTTTCTGACTATGTAGATTCTGGAAATGCTTTATGGAATATATAATGCTTAATTCAACTAAATATTTTTTTAAAGAAACAAACAGCTTTATGATATCATTGTGAAGAAGGTTCGCATTCCTCTTCAAACTATTCGGTAAGTTCCATGTAACTTCTAAATTTTATATATGGTAGTTTGATTTAAATAGGTGTGAATATTATTATGCATTTTATCATGCATTTTATCTTACTGTAAAAATTCTGCTGCTAAGAAACAGGTAACTACCAAGTCAAATGTTAATGTAACTTTAAAAGTGGCAGTAGAGACTACCCACAGAAGAGTCAGTTATTAATTAAACAGTTGGCATTGGTGATTGTCAGTAGGTGAGTAATGAATGGGTCTTTTTTTTTTTTTTAAAAAAAAAAGACAAATTCATGTTTTCAAGTAGCAGTAGACTGCATATAGCAATGCCTTCTACAAGGGTCATTCTACCCTTTATTATCATTCTTTCATACTGAAATTCTTTGTACTGAGTCTGTCACAGACTGAATATTTGTTGATAACGTCAGTTAAAACTGGACATGTTTGTGAGGGAAAAAGGGAGAATATTTTTACAATTAATTGTTAGTCATTGGTTTTGCTTCAGTCTTCGAAGAACCAAATCAAATTTAGTGGGATAACTGTGATCCTTAGAACATACTTTTCACAACGTCTTCGAAAATGTAGCTGAATTATGTGTTGCTGGAAAACTATGCTGCACATTTCGGTAGGTACTTCAATTGTATCAGTTGTCTTTAGAGCCTGAAGCCCTCTCACGTTAGAAAGGTCTCCAGAACTTCTCCTTCTGGCAGCCAGGGGACACTGTGACACCATGGTCAAGGACAGAGAGGCGAGCAGTCCTGTCCCTCTTGTGCCTTTTTGCCCGGTACCCGTGTGAAGGAAGACATAGACTGGCAGGCATGTAGACATTTAAGAAGTCACACTTTTGAGTGGTGGAAGAAAAGTGAAAGTACAAAGTAGGGGGAGGTAAAATTTTCTGTCTTCCATCACATACTGGGACAGAGTAGGCAGAGATGAAGGAACAGCCAGGCTTGGGGTTTTAATGAAGAGGAAAAGATGAAAAGCATTGCAATTGTTGATTCCTTAGGAAGCTTTTTTACATAGAAAATTGCATTCAAAATTTGAGAAGTCACATTAAGACCCCAAACTGAAAAATGGGAAGTGTGGAAGTATTGTCTAGGGAACGTTAGAATTCTGATCTCACATATGTTGTAATGGTAACTTTAAATTGTATGATTGTGTTTGTTTTATTCGTTAATATAAAATTGCTGTTTCATATAGTGACTGTAGTAGTTGACTGCAATCAGTAGTAATTCAAATTGTGGATTACGCATTAGAAGATAATGAGACACAATGAGTTTTTCAGTAGGGTTATAAAGTGCTCTCCCATCCTTTTCTCTGCACATCTTTAGTATCCATTATCTTTGTTTTTTTCATTGTTGTTATTTTTATCTCATAAATACATTCATTCCCTTTTTAGCTATTGTCCAATGTCCCTCCTTTCTTCCCAATCTCTGGCTCCTACAAAGTAATTGTTTTCATTAGTCTTCTACGTTCCTATTACTTCTCTTTGCTTGTCTCAACACCATCAAAGAAAGCACAGAGAAGGAGCCCTCAGTGTTAGTCCTTATGTCCTATGATGTAGCAGTCTGCAGCAACCTTTATAAGGATGATCCTGGTGGTCCCTGGAGTCCTGGAATGTCACCTATTTACTTTTTCTGTGAAATAGCACATCCTCAGTGAAATGGCCTATAGGAACTTTAAGCTAGAAGATGTACTGAACAGATTGAATCTTCAAAGTATCTAGCAGCAAAATTTAGCTAAATGTAAAACTGAGTATCTGGAAAATTTCTTTTTTCCCCTTGTAACTTGAATCAAATGAATGTCTTATTTTTACAGAAGAAGGAAATTGCACATCACTGGCATTAGCAAGGTGACTTTGCCAGTTAAAGAGTTTTATGCCATAGTGTAGAGGTGGTAACTCTGCTTCACTGCATATGTACAAACAAGCAAACCTCTGTAACATCACGAATTAGGCAGTGTCTCCTGATCTTACTTGCAGAAATAACCACAACATTTATGCAAAAGTTTTCTGAGGCATCATGTAATATAGAAGATTTCAGCTGGCATATTTGAATTGAAGATTTCTAAGCAACTGTTAAGTTTTATTACCCAACACTTTCTGTAGTAATAAACAGTACATGTCTTTACTGCATCACGTTTGGTAGAACAACCACTCCATACCTGGCTGGTATTGGAGTCCAACACCATAACAAACCTATCTTTGACAATTGAAAGATTGCTTTTTGTTACAGCTATTTTTTGTTTCCAGGAGTAATTAGTTTGCACCACAAGTAATCACTCTCAGATGATTAAAGATCAGCATTGATAAGTTCTAGTTTTCTCCACTGAAAGGGTCTCTGACATGATGCAGTTAGGAAAACAGATGGAAGCCTCATTCTCATCTTCCTCATAAAAAGAAGCAACTGTGCATTTGGTAGTAATGAAAAAAGTACTTTTCCGGATCTGAGAACACTTGAAAGGGGTTTTTTAATGTAATGTTTTTGACAGTTGTCCTGTTGTGGTGATAACTAAGTAAGGATTCTGTTATAAACCCTAACATTTCAACCAGGATGATGTACAGTTTTAGAAGACGGAGCTTTCAAAGCTTTTGATAATGTGTCTGTGTCTGTCTACCATTCCTCCCTCAGTTTATAGGCTTTTTTTTTTTTTCTGGGCATCTTGTGCTGGCCTCTAAATTTGCCTATAAAATGGAAGTGCGTTTGTGCATGAGTGACAGGAAGATTTGTTCATGGGTGTGAAACCCCAGAAGTTGTTTTCTGAAATGTTGGCAAAAAACACTTGAACTAAATGCCTTTTTTTGACTTTTCTTCCCTTTTCCCTATAGAGCTGATGGAGGTGTCAGTAATAATAGTTTTGTCATGCAGATGACTTCAGATTTAATTAATAAGAAAATAGAAAAACCTGCAAATGCAGACATGTCTAGTCTTGGTGCAGCTTTTCTAGCAGGCCTTGCTTCAGGTATGTTTATATTTAAAGGGGTTTTGTTTTTACCTTCATAACACATGTTTGTAAACGGGGGGGGGGGAATTAGAAAAAAACAGTCCATAACTTCAAATAATTGTAAAAACAATTTGTTTGTAAACAAGGGGGGGGGAGGAAATTAGAAAAAAACAATGCATAACTTCAAATAATTGTAAAAACTCCCCAAACTTCAGCCATTTTTGTGAGAATCCAAGGTAAGTAGTGTTTATGTTTCTCTGTATTGTGCTTTATACCCATGTACTTGTATTTGATGGACGAAAGAAAGAAATGATAACATACATAAACCAAGTCAAGGACCTTATTTGTATTTCTAGCACAATGTCCCAGTTTACTGAGCAGTTGCATGCTTGTTTAGTTTTACATAAATGAATAGTGACAGTGAGTTTAATGTGAAAAATATCTGTGTATAAGTTTGTATGGTTAATTTACATTTAGGAGGATATACTACTGGGGAAGAAAGAGGTGAATCCTCTCTTGCTGCCTCCCTCTTTCTTGACCCAACACTTTGCATCCCTTCCCGTATTCGCACTGTCTGGAGCGGTGCTTGGCGGGGATGGATCACGTGACAAGGAAGCTGCCGTGCTTACGTGCAGCCGTGTCATTCCTACTGAACCTGTATCCTTTCATCTGTGAACCAAGTCTTTAACGTTTTCACAGAAATAAACACAATGGAAGTAAAAAATAAATTATTAACATGGAAAAAAAAAACAGTTCTATTCACACAGAATTGTTGTATGTAATTAGCCAGACTTAAAACTACAAACTGTCAATGGCTTTGCTTAATGGAAGTGTATTTTGTAGATCGATATTAACTTCATTCAATTGCTTTGATGTGTAAATAACACAAGTGAAACATAAAAACTATATGCTCAGGTAAGACCCAGCAGTTAAAACTGGAAGAAAGTTGCAGCCCTTGTCAGACAAGAATGATTCAATAGCATTAATTACTCTGAATACATAACACCAGCTGGTTTTTGCCATTTATGCAATTTTTAAGACAGTAGAAAGCAACTAGTGCTAAGTCCTGTTTTCTGTGGCCCTTCTTCGTTGAGAGGGACCTGCAGCTGAAAGCACAGTGTGGATGAAACCTAAGGGAACTTCGGTGTGCCAGAGCTGTTCCTTGGAAACTGTCCCAGTTAAGCAGATGTGCTGTTGTCAGGATTCCAAGCAAGTGGATGCTATTGGAAAGGAGTTTCACATGTTAGAAATATGCTTCCCTCTGAGAAAGTTGTTGGTTGAGTAAAGAAAAGCTGTCATGATTTCTTACTGTGTTTCTGCTTTGGATCTCTTCAAAATAAATTAAAACAAGTCAAAAATAACATATTTGCAGTTGAGCTTAAGAATGAACTTTCTGTTTATAGGATTTTGGACTGACAAAGAACAACTAAAGAAGCTAAGGCGAATAGAAGCAGTTTTTGAGCCCCAGAAGGACATGGAGGAATACAAACCTGCTATGGATACCTGGCTACAAGCAATGAAATGCTCTCTGCACTGGTAGAAATTGGCATTTTAGTTATAGAAGAATTAAAATGTTTTAATTCGTATTTATAATCTTGACATTAACTGGACAGTAAAAACCATAACTGAAACTTGTGATGGTATAAAGTTATACTTTATAAGTATAAGTAAGTACTTCACTTACCCCCCTGCTGCTAGTTTGCTTACCACACAGTAATGAACCTTCATACCATCCCTATTACAGCTGTTGTCCAGCTGTAGCATTTGTGTCCCTTCAGTGACCTCCTTTGGGTGGCCCAGCTGCCTGAATCCTAGCATGTACTGAAGATGGGGAGTTTTTTCCTATGATAGGTTTTCTACTGAGGAACTCACCTCCCTTCTGATCTTTAAAATATTTGGTATGTTAATCATGAAAGAAGGGTAAAAGGCACACATACTTCCCTAAGCGTTTCTAAGGAAAGGAAAATGATCATTGGGGATGGGGTAATGATGAATTTGATCGTGTGCAAAGATATTTTCTTGTTAGTAGCCTGTTACCACCATTTGGTTGACTTTCTAAGGAATCATTTGACCCAGCTCTGTGGTGATATTTTTGTGCACTAAATTAAGATAAAATACAAAAGTAAATAGGCTTTCAGTACTCCATAAAAAAAAAAAAAAATAGCATTTTTGTAGCTGGCGGTTCCTATCTAGTTTGTAGCTCAATTTTTTTAAAATTTTATAAAGACCAAAAGCTATATTATCTGGCATGGCTAGTACAAATACATTAAAAGTAGTTACAGGTATGCTATCTAACTTGTAAACATCTGTAACATTAGTATTTTCAAACCCATTGTTACCTCCTATTATTATTAGCTAAAAGGGGGTCAAAAGTCTATTTTTGAAGCTATGAATTACTTTTGTATTTTTAAAATAAATTAAATAAATTTGTAGTTTATTATTCTTATGTATTTGTTTATCACTAATCTTAAATTATAATTTTCTCAGGAGTATGTGTAAATCAGTTTCAAAAATGTAAAATTATTAAACATTTTCATTTCAGAATAGTATCAAATTCAAGCTGTGGGTGATTGTGTTCCACAGACACTGGAGACAAGAAATGTTTATAGATTTAACATTATTGAAGAATGCAAAAGAACTATCATTCACTTTTTCTGAAACACAAAAGGTCAAATCGTACACCATTCTCTCAGTTTCTTTCACACTCATCTACCAGGAGTTGGAGCATCTACTCTAGCTGTGTTCTTCTTCAAACTAGACCTCATTTGCCTGTCACCCTTAGCTTAATGTACCATTTTTCTTATTCTCCTGTTAATTTCTGTCCTTCAACCTGTGCTACATCTTGGCATGGTTTTTTTTTTTTCCCTCTGGGTATCCTTCAAGTTGCAGAGACCATCTTCTCCTGAACCTACTTTAATGGGAATCCTGAATTGAAGTCCAGAAACAGGTGACTATGTGAGAGTCTTTCTAGTAATATGGCAGACTATACGATCTATATGGTTGACAGCTCTATAGATGCTGCTTTTTTTTTTTTTGTGCCAAGACTAATATAAAGTCCATTGACGAGGTTCCTTCCATGCTTCCTCCTGCTGTAAGATAAGAACCAGTAGTCATAGAATCATAGAATAGAATCATGGAATAGTCTGGTTGGAAGAGACCTTCAAGATCATCGAGTCCAACCATTCACCCTGCACTGTCAGGGTCCCTAAACCATATTGCTCAACACCAAACCTACACGGTTTTTAAACACCTCCAGGGATGGGGACTTCACCACCTCCCTGGGCAGCCTGTTCCAATACTTCACAACCCTCTCTGTAAATAAATTTTTCCTGATATCTAACCTAAATTTCCCCTAGTCACAGGATAGTGGAACGCTTGTTTTGCTTCAACGCCCGTGTTCAGCTTGTGATTTTCTCTGTCATCTCAACCTCACTGCTAAAGAAAATGCTTATTGGCAAGAAGGTTCTACTAGGCCAAATAGGCTTTCAGTCTGGTGTTTTGAGCAGAAGTTTGTGGCTTCAGTCACTGGTATTCAGCACTTTGTTCTCACTGAAGGAGTTCGGTTTCATCAAAGTCTGCCTAGGGATAATGTCTACCTGTTACCCTCCTGATGAAGGCTCCTTGACTTATGTTCACTTAATAGTTTTGTGGTTTTGCTGGGCTTGATGAGGGTTCCTGCAGTGTTCCCAGATGAAGCTCTGATGGGAGTTGAATCTGATTCTGTTCCAATCACTTAGCTGAAGGTAACTTAGCTAGCCGTGTGCCTTATACTGCACCTGTACACGCTGGTGCTTTTCATGCTGGCCATAGCACAGCTAGAAAGATAGGAGATACCCAAGACATTATATAGTCCTCTTGGTCTAGATAGTGTCCTAGGGGACCTATTCTGGATAACTATTTACCACTGTCACTGTTTAATTTGAAGCAGGAAACTGTTTTCCTTCCACTACCCTCAAATCTACAGGAGAGAAACTTCACTGCAAAATAAGAATGCAAAAAGCCTTTCAAATGATCTGCAAAGTTGTGTGTTCTGTTGTGGAGAGGTTCGAAGTAGTGAGTAAGTCTCTGAAACAAACAGAGACTGTTAAATCTACCAAGATGGAGCAGCCTTTGGACATTAGAGCGTCTGCCACAGCTTGTGATGGTAGTTGCACAAAGACTGAACAGACTATAATAGACATCTTGAAGAAATTTGGTTACGGATCACCAAGCCTCTTTTGCTTACCTGTTACAAGAAAAATTGATTTTATCTTCCTAGGAAATTTTGAATGTGCTGGTATCTTAAAGTGGTACCTGTTAATTGATAATGAATTTGAAATGAGCTTTAAGCAATTAGATATTTTTACCAGGTGCTTCACTGTCTCAATTTTTGTTACACAGAAGGGCATTAAGACCATTGTAGAACCTCACCCTACTAACTTTTATTTAAAATACTACAGCTTTTACTTGTGCCCTTTTTACTTATATTTAAATTTTTGCCTCAGGGGTGGTTTTCATCAGTTTGAAAAGTATATGCAATTTTACGTTTGTTATCAGCTGGGTTTGATAGTAATGTTAACAGTACAAAAACTATAAATATTAACTAGTTTGTAGGTTTATCATTTCAAGAGGTACACCATGTTGAGACTGAATGTTCTGCTTAGGATTGGGAAGTAATGTACCTCGTCAGGCATGTGAAGACTGGGAATTCAGTTGAGAGATGTGTTAATGATCTCTGGGCATCCTGCCTTCAGAGATACGCGTGGTGCTGATGGTAGATAATTACACCTAAGTTTGGCAATTTTATCATTCATAACAACATATAGTCCTATTATGTAATTGAGGACTACATGGCATGAAAAATCCCTCTAATGTTGCAGGGATCTCACTACTATTGGATTAATTATTGCACGTGAAGACAAAGGGCAGATAAAACAGTCTTCAGCTTGTTGAAAATACTGAGCAGACATATGAGTTTTCTTACATAACTAAGAAAAGAATCAAGTCAGCTATGTTTAAAATCTCACTGTAATGAACTTTGCCAAGATTTTTGAGTACTGTTTTCTTCTAAGCAGTGTTTCCTCTCCTGTAACAGCTAACTTTATGTAAAATTAATTCAGTCGCTCTCATCTGGTTTTGACAAGAGCATTTATACTTGCTTTCCTGTCAGAAGAAAGTAAAAAAGGAAAATACTGAGTTGCTGTTTCAGCCCGCTAGCTGCTTTTTGGTATAGTCTCTGCAGCAAGATTCCTCAACTAGTCCCACTATTTCCAGGATCAGGCCTAGCACAGAGGCTCGCCATTTGAACAGCAGCTTTGTGGAAAAAGGTAACAACTATTTCTTGCCAGTCGAATAAGAGGGAGTTTCATGCTCTTAGTGGTCCAAGCCAAAAAGTACAATGTTGTGATACCCTCTTCAAAGAAACAGGTATGTCAGTACTGCAGGTTGAGTTGGGGAATATGGTAGTGCTCTGACCCAGAAGTTGGGCAGTATTTTACTTCAAGGTTTTATAGGGAGTGGGGGTAAGTACAGCAGGAGAAAAGAGGTGAGGAGTCTGTTGTCGGTGTTTGTGTAGGTTATCACAGTTAGGGTTGTGGGCTGGCAAGAAAGCGAGGAAACTAGCAAATGTTGAAAAGTAACGTGTTGTAAAAGGGGAAGGTGAGGGACCTGGAAGGGATCTGACCAGGCAGAGGGAACCAGAGGTTGTTCTAATGCTGGGAGACTGGTGACCATTTCTGGAGGGAGACATGAGAAGTTCCTGCAGTGCAGGTTTTACTGTAAGTAGCCACTAAACCCATGCCTTAGCATGTCTGAAAAAAAAAAATCCAAGTTGTTTTTCAATGCAGCCCTCATTCTGGGATAAAGTTTGGGATTTATGTTAAGTTCTGAAAGACTATATATTGGTTTAGAATGTTTCAGAAGAGGCATATTTAGCCTCTTGCAAACCCATCATTGTTTCAGAAGCTTCAAGCTGAATAGTGTGTATGTATGTATATATATATATATAGTTATCTCATTCTGCAGTTTGCTGTTGAAAGCAAATGCAAACTACAACAGTGACCTTTCTCCATTTTTTCTCCTTAGTGGTTACAACACCTATTTTTCATGTTCATAATCAGTTACTGTATCTGACTTCAGTTCATTGGTGTTTCTTGCAGAAAAGTAAATAAGCCAATGAACTAAAACCAGGTATTTGAAGCAGAAGTGTCTTTATTGAGGCTGTTTGAGTTCAAGTATTTGTTTAGCTCAGGTAACTTACTGAATAGTGCAATAAACCAGCCCACCTGGTTTTCTTCTGTTTTGCTTCCTTTTCTAAGGCAGTGCATGCCTTCGGAGCTTCTGTCAGGGCATGCTTCAGTTGCATTTATATGAGCTATTGTGATTGTACCTGTTGGAGAGGTCTCAAGGAGAATACTCAATAGTTTGCTTTTTTTTTTTTTTTAATGCTTTCATGAAGGTATCATGCATAACACTGTAAATATTGATAAAGATCTTGTTGCATGTGATGAAAAGTATTTTAAATAGAGGATGAAAAGACACTAAAACCACAAAGTCAGCAAATTCCTGGGCATA